GCGGCACCTCACCTAACCATATGAACCCGCTAGGACCCCTACAGAAGCAAACTCTGAAAAAAATGAGAAATTCACAGATTCAATGATACCGGAGAAAACCCCCAACCAGATGTGTTTAGGGCTATAGGGCTATGGGGCTATAGGGCTGTAGGACTATAATTAAGGCTATGGGGCTATATGGCTATAGGCTGATTGGGCTATAGGACTATAGGGCTATAGAACTATAGGGCTAGAGGGTTATAGGGCTACTGGGCTGTTGGGCTATAAGGCTATGAGGGCTATAGGGTTATAGGGCTATAGGCCTATAGGGCTAGAGGGCTATAGGGCTATAGGGCTATAGGGCGATAGGGCGATAGGGCTATAAGGCTATGGGGCTATAGGGCTATAGGGCTATTGGGCTATAGGGCTATAGGAATTTTTAAGGCTATGAGGCTATAGGGCTATAGGCCTATAGGGCTGTAGGGCTATAAAGCTATAATGATATAGGGCTATAGGGCTACCTGTCTACCGGGCAGCCGGGAACCCCCGGGCCCCTTGGTCCCCGGGCCCCCGGCCCGGCCACCAAAATCGGCGGCCCAGCACACCTAACCATATGAATCCGCTAGGATCCCTACAGAGGCAAGCTCTGATTGGGGAAAAAGAATAAGAAAAAGTCTTGGGTCCACGAGCCCTGTGAGGGCTCCCCCCCAAAAAAAAACCTGTGAGGGCTCCAACAAGCAATGGCTTTCGTGACTGCGGACTTCCTCCGGGCCCCTGCAGGCCAGATTCGCCCAGGCAGCCTGAAGTCCCGAAAACAATTGAGTATTGTTTTTTGGGGGGGACCCTCACGGGTTTTTCGTTTTATTGAAACCCTAACAGGATTCGTAGCTTCTCAAGAAATTAGTAAAACCTGCGAAGGCTCCCCCTCCCCCCCCAAAAAAGACAAACAACAATAAAACCTGTGAGGGTTCCCAACAAGCAAGAATCAATGGGTTTCGGGACTTCGGACTTCATTCGGGCCCTCCAGGCCAGATCCGACCAGGCAGCCTGAAGTCCCGAAAACGATTGTTGATTTGTTCCCAACCATCCTGTGGTGTTGGGTTCTCGTTTTGAAGAGACAGCGCCCCGCGTCCCACCTCCTTCCTCCTTCCCCATCCTTGCCTTTGCTCTCCGCATGTCTCAGCTCACCCCCTCCTCCCATCATCATCATCATCATCATCATCATCATCATCATCATCATCATCATCATCATCATCATCATCATCATCATCATCATCATCATCATCATCATCATCATCATCATCATCATCATCATCATCATCATCAGCATCATCATCATCATCATCATCATCATCATCATCATCATCATCATCATCATCATCATCATCATCATCATCATCATCATCATCATCATCATCGTCATCGTCATCATCGTCATCATCACTCGCTTCGTGGCCCCATAGGGAGCTCCACCGAAGGCCCCAGTGGGGGGGGGGGCACATGCGTCCCCCACGCTCAGGGCAACGTTCCGTGGCCCCATAGGGAGCTCCACCGAAGGCCCCTGTGTGGGGGGGCGCATGCGTTCCCCACGCTCAGGGCAGCGCTTCGTGGCCCCATACGAGGCTCCACCGAAGGCCCCAGTGGGGGTGCCCGCATGCGTCCCCCACGCCCAGCACAGCGATTCGTGGCCCCATAGGGCTCCACCGAAGGCCCCAGTGGGGGGGGGGGGGGGCGTATGCGTCCCCCACGCCCAGCACAGCGATTCGTGGCCCAATACGGAGCTCCACCGAAGGCCCCAGTGGGGGTGCCCGCATAGGGAGCTCCACCAGAGGTTCCAAGTCTACCGTCCGCATGCGTCCCCCCCCCGCGCCACACAGTACAGCGTTTCGTGGCCCTCCTTCCCCTCCTCCCTGCGTTTCACCCACCCAGTACAACGTTTCGTGGCCCCATAGGGAGCTCCACCGAAGGTTCCAGGTCTACCGTCCGCATGCGTCCCCCCCACCCAGTACAGCGTTTCGTGGCCCTACTCCCCCTCCTCCCTGCGTTTCACCAACGCAGTACAGCGATTCGTGGCTCCATAAAGAGCTCCACCGAAGGTTCCAAGTCTACCGTCCGCATGCGCCCCCCCCCCACCCAGTACAGTGTTTCGTGGCCCTCCTCCCCCTGCTCCTTGCGTTTCACCCACCCAGTACAGCGTTCCGTGGCCCCATAGGGAGCTCCACCAGAGGTTCCAGGTCTACTGTCCGCATGCGTCCCCCCCACCCAGTACAGCTTTTCTTGGCCCTCCTCCCCCTCCTCTCTCAATTCACCAACCCAGTACAGCGTTTCGTGGCCCCATAGGGAGCTCCACCGAAGGCTCCAGGTCTACCGTCCGCATGCGTCCCCCCCCACCCAGTGCAGCTGTTCGTGGCCTTCCTCCCCCTCCTCCCTGCGTTTCACCCACCCAGTACAGCGTTTCGTGGCTCCATAAGGAGCTCCACCGAAGGTCCCACTGGCACCGCCCGCATGCGCCAGCCACCGCCCAGCACAGCCCTTGCTCCTTGCGTTTCGCCCACCCAGTACAACGCTTCATGGCCCCATAGGGAGCTCCACCGAAGGTTCCAGTGGCACCGCCCGCATGCGTGCGCGTCCGCCACCACCCAGCACAGCCCTTGCTCCCTGCGTTTCACCCACCCAGTACAGCGCTGCGTCGTGGCCACCCATAGGTGGCCCCATAGCTCCAGCGAAGGTTCCAGTGGCACCGCCCGCATGCGTCCGCCACCACCCAGCACAGCCCTTGCTCCCTGCGTTTCACCCACCCAGTACAGCGTTGCGTCCCCAGGGGGGGCCCGAAGGTCCCAGTGGCACCGCCCGCATGCGTCCGCCACCACCCAGCACAGCCCTTGCTCCCTGCGTTTCACCCACCCAGTACAGCCCGTGGGGGCTCCAGCGGCTTCCAGTGGCAAGCCCGTGGCATGCCCGCATGCGTCGCCACCACCCAGCACAGCCCTTGCTCCCTGCGTTTCACCCACCCAGTACAGCGTTGCGTGGCCCCAGGGGGGGCTGGCAATGCGTCCCAGTGGCACCGCCCGTGCGTCCGCCACCACCCAGCACAGCCCTTGCTCCCTGCGTTTCACCCACCCAGTACAGCGTTTCGTGGCCCCATAGGGGGAAGGTTCCAGTGGCACCGCCCGCATGCGTCCGCCACCACCCAGCACAGCCCTGCGTTTCACCCAGTGGCCCCATAGGGGGCTCCAGCGAAGGTTCCAGTGGCACCGCCCGCATGCGTCCGCCACCACCCAGCACAGCCCTTGCTCCCTGCGTTTCACCCACCCAGTACAGCGTTTCGTGGCCCCATAGGAAGCTCCACCGAAGGTCCCAGTGGACCCATCAGCATTGCCAGCGCTGCAGCGAGAGCGCCATTCCATGGGACGGAGGCCGGATGGAAACTGAGGAATGAAGCTGATGCTTCCGCGGGAGCTCCGCTCTGACGTGCCCGCACGCAGGGACCAAGGCTGGGAGGCGCAAGCTGCGTGCCGATGCAAGAGAACGGCCCACGCCGCGTCGAGTGGCGAGTCCGTCGGATGGAGCTTCCTTGAAGGGGCCCTGGGACACACAAATACATACACACGAATAACAGGATTACCCATATTTTCCCATGTTTGTTGGATTTTTGTCTCCCCCCACACTTCCCATCTTTTCCCATATTTTCTGGGGGATTGACGATTAATTGTGCCTGCGTGTTTCTTTCCCTCCTGATTCCTGGGGCAAGGCAGGAATGCGGCTTCAGAAGTCAGGCCACCGCTTGAGCCAGATCACCTTGTCAAGGGCTGGCACTCCAGAAGTGAAGCCCACGCTGTAGACGGAGCGCTAGTTTGAAGGACAGTCAACTCAAAAAAGAGGCCAACGCTGTAGCGGGCGGGGGCGCACATTCGAGGCCGACACCACAGCGGGAGAACCATTGAGAAGGGTAGAACAAGCGGGAATAAGGCCGATGCGCCATATTGAAACGAGGAGGACGTGGAAATTGAGCCATTGCTGCAGAGGGAGTACCACTTTGGAAGGACCGAAAATGCTGAGATGGGGAAACTCCAAATACTTATAAACCTTTGAAGCCCTGTATGAAAACAGTACAAAGAAAAGGCGGGATACTCTCAAAATGTCGTCGGGCGAGAGAGAGAGAGAGAGAGAGAAACGCGATATCATGTTGCATAATTGTGTAGGAGGGAGAGAGAGAGAGAGAGAGAGAGAGAAAGAGAGAGAAAGAGAGAGACATATATGGGAAGAATACGAGAAGGCAGAGGAGAGGAAGGGAGGAGGGCGAGGAGAAAGAGAGGGATGAGGAGCAGGAAGGATCATGAACGCCTCCCTGCCTTTTGTCCTTCTTTCCATCGGTTGACCCTCGTCTCCGCCTCGCCCCGCTCGTTCCCTGGCTCAAGAGAAAACAAGCCAGTGGGCCGCCGTGGGGGCCAGATCCAAGAGCTAAGCGGTCCTGGCTCGATGTGCCGAAGCTTCCCACCTAATACCTCCTCCTCCGCCTCCCGCATTGCCCACCTCGTTCCCATGCCGAGTAATGGCAAGCAGCGGGCCGCCGGGGAGCCCTGATCCAAGAACTGAACAGTTGGTTCCGACTCGATGAGCAGAGGCCCCCTCCTTGCAGCCGCAGCATGGCCAGTCGATTGAAACGTACGAGACGTCCCAGCGCCCCATGGGCAAACCCAGCGCGAAGAGCACCCCAAGGCGGAGAGCCCAAGTGCGCAACATCCAATCGGCGGTGGACAAACCTCCCTTTAGTAAACCTCCCCTCAACGAAAACGGCCTGGGACCGAAACCGACGGACCTGGACCCGCAAAAACGACGGCCGCGACGCCCTCTCGCGAACCAGAAACGGCCAATTCCTTAATCGACGTGTCAGGGTAGGAGGTCTGTCCATCCCCCGAGTGCTGCCCCTTCCGAAGCCAAGGTGTGTCCTTCGCCCTCCGGCCTGCTGCCGCTCCTGCCGCCCGCGGCCCTCGTTCCTGCCCCCCGGGCGGGCGCCGCTCCTCCCGCGCCAGCTGGATGGCGTTGTGGCTGGAGGTCGTCTCGATTTTCTTCGGGTTCATGCCAGCGCCGTACCTCTGCACTAGTGACCGAGGGCGCGCGCGCGCGCGCGTCTTCGCGGGCAGCATCTTGGACGCCTGAGACTTAAACTCGATGTCCGGGATCGGAAAAAGAACAAGTCCTTCTCGTCCTTCTCTTCCTCATCTTGGCGTCCTCGAATGTTCCTCCTCTTGCCATCCTCCATCTCCTCATCCCCCTTATCCTCTCCTTTTGACCTCCTCCTCCTCTTCCTCCTCGTCCTCCTCCTCGTCCTCCTCCTCCTCCTCTTGCGTCCTTACCCTGCCCTCTTGCCCCTGTCCCTCCTGCCCCCGTCGTCTTCCACCTCGTTGTCTTCATCATCGCTCATCTTTCTCCCCGGCCAGCATCGACGACCGACCCAGCCCGAAACCTCAGGAGAGCACCAGCAGAGAACCCTGGCAGCAGTCTTTTTTTTGTGAGAAGCCACACCATAACGAACGCTGGGACAGCCCGGCTGTAGACCGGGGCCTCGGCCGGATTGCACCGGTGCTATCGTGCTATCGCGAGGACTTCAAAAACTGTGCGCGCTGGCGGCGCATTCGCGCAAACGCCGGGAAGGAGACAAGGGGGAGGGACGAGAAAAGCAGGAGAAGGAGGGAGAGGAGGGAGAGGAGGGAGGGGAGAGGAGGGAGAGACGAGAAACGCCGCAGAAGAGGAGGGAGAGGAGGGAGAAAGCCGCAAAAGAGGGACGAGAAGAGCAGTCTTGGGCGGCCGGCCTGCCCCACCGCTCCACCGCCCCGGGTGCGCAGGGGTCGGCCCAGGCCGTGTGAGTCTGGCCACGGCGGCCGCCCGTGGAGCAGTCCTCAGGAGGCTCTCGCCGGGGGGTACAGGGCAGTTTTTTACACATATGATGTTTTTTTACTATACGATTTTATATACATGCATGATGTATGAATAATTGTATACATGAGCTCATCGTTGTTTTTGATACTAAATCCCTGCATCTTGAATAGGAGTTTTCTTAAAGAAAACCAAACACAAACAAACAAAAATGATGTGTAACACATGATTGATATGTGAATGAATTTATGCATGGAATCATCGTTGTTCTTAATACTAAGTCCCTGCATGTTTAATACATGATCCGCACGCGGAGCATGTATTAGAAACGGCGCTGTACTCAGGAGGCTCTCGCCTGGGTAATTTCCCCCCCCCCCCTCTGCGCAAACGCAGAGGCGACGGGGCAGCTGTTCTCGTGTGGGTCCCCAGCGCATGCCACTCGTAAAGTTCGCTCCTGTTGAGGCCTGGCCTGGCGCTGCAAACCCCTAACTTCCCCTCTCGTCGACATAGCGCGGAACGCAGCAACCCGACACGGCAGGTCAGCGTCGCGATGAGGTCGGCGTTGGTTTCTGACAGTGCGTGGATGGTTCGACCCTGAGCGATTAGGGCTTCTCCTGTAGCGCACAGATCAGCAGATGTCGGCCGACTCCAGGCCACTGAGGGTGTTCGACATTGAACGCGCACGTTAGGGTCGCCGCCGCGTCGGCGCGGCATGAATCTATCAGAAGTCAGCCCTGCCCCCTGGCCCCCACACAAAACATCCACACGAATTGTATGCAATAATCTCACGCGCGCGCTTCAACCAGAAACGTAGTTTTCTCTTGGCCAGGGGCTGCCCGCGATAACGGCCACGGCAAAGTCCAAACCTAGGCGTATGATTGAAGCCTCGCTGTCGCCTTCATGGACACCCAACATGGCTGAGGTGTGGCAATTCAAGTCTACAGAGTCCTTTGAGCGAGAGCTGATTCAGCACAAACTCTATAGTTACGTAGCTCAGTGGCAATCGCTCTCAACAAATCCGCAGACTCTGTCGGCGTGTGCGAGATGCCGTTCCACTCCCTCCGTTCTCGGCGTCGTCGTCGCCGTCGCCGCTGTTCTAACCTTTTCCCGTATACCCGTCACACAATTATTTTGCGCGCGCGTTGAGGTGGAACACCCTGACTACAAGGTAGATCCACGCGTGGATGAAGCTTACCAGCACGAGAAGATGTATATCGTGAAGACATGCCACGCAAAGGAAAGCATTTATGTCCCCACTCGGGGTAAATGAAAATAGCCGGCACGAGGAGCTGCGGATCGCGAGGACCTGCCTCGTGAAGGACTGCATTCGTGCCCCCACTCGGGGGTGCGTGACGTCATCCAGAAGGAAACGAAGGCAAGCGCGATCGAAAGAACAACGAGAACAGCACTGTGCCCAGCCACACCTTCTTTTAATCCTCGGAAGACGGAGGGGCCAGCCGCCCCGCTTGGTGACGATGCGCCTCAAGAGCGACGGGATCGGGGATCTTCTGACCCGGGTCAATCCAAATCCGGGTCAGCAGGAAACCAAAAAACTGCAATGCAGGGGACAAAAACTGCAACGCAGGTTTTCGCAAACCCGGGTCAGCCAATATGCGCGGCCGCCTCGCGGCCACAAGCGGCTCGCTGACCCGGGTCAGCCAGAGGAGGTCTTCGAAGGATCCTGCAAGATCTGGCGCTCTGGCTGACCCCCGTCTCAAGGCTCCCGACGAGAGGGGTCGTATTAGTATCAGTATTATTATTAGCATTCGCATTCTTATCGATTACTACTAGTATTATTAGTGCTCTTATGAGGGGCCCTGGTCTCTCCGGCGGTACCGTGACGACGGGGCGGGGGCCAGGCCCGTCGAGCGCGTGCGCCGCCGCCCCCCGCCCGTTTTCGTTTCCCCCGTGCCGCGCGCCCGTGGCCAGAGGTGGCCGCGCGCGACCAGGCGCGCGAGCGCAGCTTCTCCCACGTAGGGCCGCAGTCGCCGTTGTCGTCGCCCAACGCCGCGCTCGTGGGATGCAGGCCCGTGCTGGAGTCTTGCTGGAACTCGTCGCCGTCGAGATCACACGCGGAGCGCTTGCTTCGGCCGGCTTCGGCTCCGTAGCCCCAGCTGGCGTGCAACTGTCGCTGGCCATGTCGGAGTCGGTGCAAGCGCCGCTGCCCTCCAACATGGCCCTTGCTTCTGCCAAGGCGTGGTCGTCGATGACCACCGTCCCGCCTGGCGTGTAAGCGTCGCTGTCCGTGTCTGAGTCGGCACCAGCAGCGCTGTCGTCGTCCAGCCCCAAATCGGCCCTGCATGCGGCCAGGAGCTGGGCCTCGACGTCCACGAGGTAAGGCTGTACGGCCGCAGCCCTCGATGGCCCGAGGAGCTCTCTCAGGATGTCGAAGTGCGGGCGCAAGTCCGAGTAGATGGTGGCCCTATTCTCGTCCTCGTGCGCGGATTTGGCAAAGTCCTCGACGGCGGACTCGCACGGCGTGAAACTGTCCAGCTTACGCACAAAGTTATTGATGGAACGCAGAAAGTCCCACCAGCCCTTCAGGGCGTCGGTGGTTTAACGAGTTTCCTCTTCCACTCCTCCTTCTTCCCCTTCGGGGAGGGGTTTACCCCTCCCCCTACCCGCTCCCCACTGACCTGGACAGGAGGGGCGGGGAGCGGTCAGAGCGTCCAAAACGGCCTCGCCGAGGAAGCCAAAATCATTGATTTTACTAAGGTTTTGGCCCCATGTTGGCCTTCTGAGGGGGCAACGCTAATTAAGGCTCCCCTCTTCTTTGAAGCCAAAATCATTGATTTTACTAAGGTTTTGGCCCCATTTTGGCCTTCTGAATTTGGGTACGTCGCAAACTCTCCCTCCAGGTTGCCCTTGAACCTGAACTGCTTCTGTTGTATGTAAATAGCATGAACTGCAAGCGTAAAATATGCGTCGTCTTCCAGGAGAGGTCCAACAGCATCAGACTCCTGATCATCCAGGGTGGCGTGACATTCAGTATCGCCCTTTCCCACATACTCGTATGCAGGAGTATGTAACGCAGGACCAGTTGGAAGATTGGCCAACAACCGCAGTCTTGCTCCCATTTGAAATTCCACCGCCGAGAAGTGGGTCTTCAAGAAGAGGTGAACCTTCCTCGACCCCAAAGTTCTCAGGGAGAGCGGGAGCATGCAAACTGACCCTGTACAGGCCGCGTTTGCCATCATTCGCCTCAGGCATGGGGCATGACCCAACGACACCGAGGAGGTAGAACTCCAGGAGGTTGGTGGCATGGTCGTCAAAATTCTTCTGCGCCCGCCGCAATTGTCCCTCTCCTTTCACTGACTGGGCCCTCTTCCTGGAGCTTGCCAGCCAAAACGAAAATAAGCAATGCCGCTGTTGAGTCGGAGGGAAGTCCTTCTCTTGATCCCGTCCTGGCGGGGGGAGGTGGGTTGGGAAGGGGAGGGCGTGGGGGGGGTACCAAGTCAGAAAACCATCATCCAGCGGGGGGGGGCCCGTGCCCAAAAGCACCCGGTGACGGCCCAAGAGTGCCCCAGGAGGCCCCCAAGACGGTCCAAGAGGGTCCCGAATCGCCGAACGATCGGTCCAAGACGCCACAGGCGGCCTCCTGATGACCAGAAAGGCTGTCAAGATGCACGAAGAAACCTCCAAGAGCACACTAAGAGAGCCCCAACAGGAAAGCTGTGAAGATTGCCCTGGAGCTGTTGGCAAGATTCTGGCGCTCTCGCCTCTTCAGCGCCCCAGCGCCCCAGGACGGCCCAAAGAGCCACCAGGATCGCCACAGGAGGCCCCCCAAGAGATGTCCATGCCCCAAGCGACCCAAGACGGCCCCAGGATGGCCCAGGACCCCCCCTGCCAAACAGCCCGAACGGCCCCCAAGACGGCTCCACAAGGGTGCCCACACGGGATCTCGAACGGACCTTTCGACGTTTCCTACAATCTCCCAGGGAATCCCCACGAGGCCACGAGGCCACCAGAGGCCCCCCACAGCCCCCCCAGGAAACCCCAAGAGGCCTCCAAAAAGCTCCCAAGAGGCACTGAAAATGCTCCAAAAAGGCCCCCTACTAACCGGCCACGCGAAGGCCAACGAACGCATTCCGAAGCCCACGAATCATCCTTGAGGACTCTGCCCCTCGTCATCGCTGCCGCCGCCGCCAACGTCGTCGTCGTCGTCGTCGTCGTCCCCCGTCAGGGTCGGCGGCAACAGCCGTGAAGCCTTCCCAATAAGCCAAGGCCAGTCGCAACGTTCTAGAGTGCGACGGACCGATCGCGGTGATTTTGTCCACTGCGACCAACGCGTAATAGACCCCACGCCAGCTAGAAACTGTGGGAGAGGTAGGGCAGCTAGCCGCGGACGGAAACAAGACTTCTCCTCCTAAAACTCCCTCGTCTGTTTCGTTCACACTCCTTCTCCCCCTCTGTCCTCCTCCCATCCTCTCATCACCGTCTCCTGTTGCCCTCCCATCCTCCTCGTCAACCCACTCCTCCCCGTCCCCCTACCAAGTCTTCCTCTGATGAGAAGGCGCATTTGGGGGAAACGGGTAACACAGCGCCCCGAATGTTCCATGCTGTTGTTTTGGTACGCATGTCGCCAAATTCCGGCAGCGGCGGGTGTCGGGCAACCGACCTTCTGTCTCAAATGCACAAGCTGGGCTACCCCGCGCGCGTGCTGCCGCCCACCGCCTCCTGGATGGTGATGGGCGACGCTGTCCGGGCCTGCCTTGCTCAACTGAGCGGCTGCTCGCCCTCTGACGCCTCCTGGCAACAGGCTCAACTCAAATTCAACAAGAGAGGACTCGGCATGCGCTCCGCCGCAAAGCATGCCGCTGCCGACATCGCTTGTCAAGCGAAGAGCACCGACCTTAGTCGGCAGTTCTACGGCGCTGACCGCGACGGGGGAAGCCTGGCGGCTGCGATGCAGGCCCGCAACCATTTCCAACGCGGTGGACAGGGCTGCGCTCGACGCGCTTCTGGCGGGTGCCACCCTGGCCGGCAAGACGCACCTCTCCCTGGTGCAGGCCCCGGGCGTTACCGCGTCGCTCCAGGCGCCGCCCTGCGAGGCCACCAGCAATGCGCCCCCGCGCGGCCTCACGCAGGTCGGCGTGCAGAGGCGGCTGCGAATTCAGCTCTTGCAGGAGGAATGCTTTTGCCCAGCCTGTGGCGAGGTGATGGACGCCTTCTGTGACCACGCTTTGGTCTGCGGTTGCCGCGGCGACTGGCCCGAATGCCACAACGCCCTGCCCAACCAGGCCTTGTTCGACGCCCTGGCCGATGACCACACCGGGGCAGGCCACCCCTGGGGGCGAGCAGGGCGGGTCCCAGGTAGTAGACGGCACTGACTGCCGGCCTGCCGACGTCTAACTTCCACGGTGGCGCAACGGCACGGCGGCCACCTGGGACTTTGCCGCCGCGTGTGGGTTGCGCGCCGATCGCCTCGCCGCGTCGGCCGCGTCGCCGAGTGCGGCGACGGAGCGGTGCGAATAGTTCAAAGGGCAGCGCCAGGACGCCGCGCGGCTTTGCGCGGCTTAGGGTTTCACCTCCCCTCATGGCGGCGGAAGCCCACGGCGGCGCGTGGGGCCGCGAGGCACGCAGGGCCTCCAGGGTCCTAGTCAAGGTGGTGGCTGACTCCACGCGGGGAAACGCCGCAGCGGTTGCGGACAAGCACGCCCGGCGACCGTTTCCTTGCGCTGCTTCCTTCCCCCCTCCTCGCCCCCCTTCTGCCGGGCGGCGCGGCCTGCCGGCGGGGGCCAGCGTGGCGGCGCGCAGGGCACTCGGCTCGTCTGGGCACGGATGTACCAGTTTGGAGCCAGCAGGAGGCACTGGAATCGGGAGGGGAAAAGCCCACTGACACAATGCATCGTCGATTCCCGAAGAAAATCTGGTATATTTTTTGTTGGAAGTGGGGGGGGGAGACAGCAACCCAGAACAGATGCGAACATATGGGGGGTCCTCTCATTTGCATGTGTAGTTATTTGTTTGTGTGTCCCAGGGCCCCTTCATATAAGCGACGGCCAGCGCGAGTCTGCGGCAGCACCGCAGGCGAGCCCGGGCCAAAAGGGGCAGGAACAGCCGTCGGTCTCAAACCCGATCTTTCCGCACCCCTCTGCGGCAACTTCATGGGAGCCTCCGGTGTCGTCTTGCTGGCTATTGCGAACCGATGCGAACCGACGTTAGCCGACTTTCACCGACGCGAATCGACGCCAGTCGACGCTGATCGACCCTACTCGCCGCCGATCGACACTGAGTCGGTGCTCCTCATCGGTTGCAGGACGCCAGCGCACGCCAATGCCCTGAGCCCCGAGGACGCACAAGGCTTCCAGTTTGGACGCCCGAAATGGGCACGGGAAAGAATGGGTACAATGCCCAACAACAAATGTTGTCCCAAACCAACAGCGGCCGCTGTTTGGCAGGCGGCCTTCTGTCTCGAATGGACACAGGCCGCGGCGGCGTGGACAGCGAGTCCTGCTCAAAATGAACAAGATTCGCTGTTCGGCATTGTACCCATTCTTTCAGTACCCATTTCGGGCGTCCAGAACAAGGCTCCCAGGAATTGCTACCGAAGCACCTTCCCGGCGGCGGGCGAAGCGCAGGGCACGCAACGAATTCTAGCCCGAGGAAGTCCGACCTCAGCTTGCCGAGCGTCTGGTCCGAGTCCTGGCGGGATGCGGCGGCAGCGGAGCGGAGGGCCCGCTCCCTGGGGGAACCCGAGGAGGAGAGGGAGGAGAAGGAGGAGAACGAACGAACGAACGACTCTGCAGAGGCGTGTCAGCAGGTCCCACACACCCCTCGGGGCACTTGAAATCACTCTCAGAAGATTTCCAGGGCTGGCTCGCTTCTAGAGGGCGCGGCGATGTGAATAAAATCATCCCGCGTGGCACTCGGTGCACGCGTGCTCCCGCCCGCCCCCTACCTCGGCTGGTGGGCCCCCTGCTTTACAGGCTGGGCACGGCCGTAGGGTCGGGGAAGAAAAGGTGGGGAAAAAGAAAGCAGTAGTCCAGGAGGAGGAGGAGGAGGAGGAGGAGAAGTAGAGGGAGGAGGAGGAGGAGGAGGACGAGGAGGAGGAGGAGGAGAAAGAGAGTAAGGAGGAGGAGGAGGAGGAGGAGGAGGAGGAAGAGAGGAAGAGAGGAAGGAGGAGGAGGAGGAGGAGGAGGAGGAGGAGGAGCAGGACGATCGGGAGCAGGAGTTTTTTCCTCTGCGAGCCAGTGGGCAGGACCCAGGAGGCCAACAGTTTGGACGGAACTTGGTTGTGGGCCGCACTCTGTCGTGCGGCCTCCCTCTCGCCTGGGCACTGGGCAACACCAAATTGGCCCAAGGACACACACACACATGAAACAGGTGAGCATAATTTGTGTCTCAGGTTTTGCATTTAGTGTGCGTGTCAGGATCTCACGCGTACTCTTGTCTGGCTCAAGGGAAAAACATTTGCTGCGCTTGCTGCTGCCACAGTTGGTAGCGGAGCCTGGTTCCAGGCTGGCGGGCCAATGGGCGGCGAGGGGCAGCGGCTCTGAGGGCTGCGCCCGGAGGCCGCTCTCGCGCTCCCGGCCAGGGCCAGGCTCGCGCCGCCCGGGCGGCGCGGCCGCGGAGATGCCCGCGGAGGACGACGACGACTTCGCTGGCGCGACCTTCGACCCAGCCCGCCCCAGGGGGCAGGCATCGGCGGAGGCGACGCCGGCTGCAGGCAACACAGTGACGATTTCCATGGACCAGCTCCGAGAGATTGTGGCCGGCACGGTCCGTGAGACCATGGGCGCCACGAGACCGTCAGGCACAGGTACCGAGACGGCAGGCGCGGCTGGCTCTTCTTCTCGGAGGACAGCAACAGACAACGACGACGTCGACGGGAGGCCGAAGGATCCTTGGTGGGAGGCAGCAGCAACATCGGATCCCTGGAACTCCGGCTCAGACCCGTCGCAATCCTGGCACAAGCCAGGCGGCAAGGACGACAAGTGGCAGGACGACGGCTGGAAGAACTCCGGCCAGAGTGACAAGTGGCAGGACAGCTGGTGGGCGAGCTCAAGCTCAAACTGGGGAAAAGGAGACTACTCCGACCCGCCAGCATGGCCCGGATGGGCGCAATATCGACCTTGGCGCCGAGCACTACGACGTTGGAACACCAATACAGACGTTCCCCACTGGCGACGAGGGGAAAAGTTCTTGAAGCTTTTCGATTATACGATGCAGGCGAAGTTTGATGACATTCCGGAGGCCCAGATCACGGGCCACGACTGGATCGACGTAGTGCTGGGCCGCATGGATTTGATGATAGGAGAACGTGAGGGAGACGAGCTTCGGCGAGCAGGCCGTCGAGCTCTTTTCGAAGCATCTCGTGAGAGCAAGGAGACATTCATCCAGTACGTGAGTCGTCGAGAAGCTCAATTCCAGGAGGCCGAGACGAATGACCTCTGGATCTCGTCCAAGATGAAGGGGCTCATGTTGGAAGAGGGGGCCAACTTGACGGCCCAAGGCATGCAGAATCTCAGGACGCTCACTCGAGGAAAGCTCGAGTACAGCGACGTGAGCTGGGCCCTGAGGCAGATGGACGCCTCAGGCTCTGAGCGACTTTTGCCAGGTAGGGTGTCGAGCAATTACGCTGAGGGCGAGGGCCCCAGCGACCAGAATTATCTTCCTCCTTCCTCCTTCCCGGTCGGTGGTTCAGAAGGGTCCGAGGACCAGGAAGACGACGAGGAGGAGTACGACGACACCGAGCTGGACGACGAGGCCGCACTCTTGGCAGAGCTCGAGGATCTCGACTTGGACGAGACACAGGTGGAGGAGGCTCTGGCAATGATTGAGTCTCGACCTTCGAGCCGGACCTGGAAGCAGAATAAGGAGATCAAGCGCGCTGCTAAGCGCGACAGGGAGTACTTCGGCCCCAAGAAGACAGGATCGGCGCCCCCGCCTCCCCAACGACCGGGGGGCGGTGGCCGCGGGCGGCCGGACCGCGGCAAGGGCCGTGGCAAGGGGCGCCGTCCCAGGCTCTCTCCCGAGCAGCTGATGAAGATCAGCAGGTGCGGGATATGCAAGGAGAAGGGGCACTGGCATCGCGAGTGCCCCAACAAGGACGACCCCAAGTTCAAGAAGCGGGGCCTGGCCGCGTACACTTTCGACGGTGTCGCGTCGGACCCAGCAGGCTCGTGGGCGGTGTCCCCGGAGACCCTGCAGGACTGGAAGGAGGTCGGCCAGGAGCTGCTGGACAACGGCTGCGTGTACCTCGTGGCCAGAGCGACCCAGGGGCTGGTGGATCCAGGAGCGGGCTCGGACCTGGTCGGGCTCGCGGCTCTGAACCGAGAGTCGAAGGCTCTCGCCGCCGTTGGTATGAAGTACGAGCTGATTCCCCGACAGCATCAGCGGCCCCGCGCCGCTCACGGCGTGGGAGGTGCCGCGAAGGTGGTGACCTCAATACTCTTCCCGCTGTGCATGGGAGGAGTGCTCGGCATCATCGAGACGACGGTGCTGCTGGAGGAGGTACCGCACATTTTGTCGGTCAATCTCCTGGAGTTTCTGGGCTGCGTCATCGACCTGCCCCAGAACAAGATGACCTCCGCCACCCTAGAGACGGACATCCAGCTGACACGTCTCGGATCGGGCCACCGGATGGCCACGATTGTACAGGCGCTCGAGATGCCGCTGGGTGTGCCGGAGTCTGCACTGCGAAAGTATCCTTTTCTTTCACAGAATTCGTTTCAGCTGAACACTGGCGATGCGCCAGAGATGCTCGAGTCCGGAGTCCTGAGGGCTTACATCATCCTGGTCATCATCACTCTCGCTGTCATCCTGTTCGTGACAATGGGCGCCCGGATGATGAGCCTCGAGAGGGCCTACGAGAGGGTGGTCTTGGGGATCAGTGCCTTCGTCGCGGGGATCGGCCTCGCGATGGCCACGCACCGGAAGGGGCTCAAGCACAAGCCCTTCGGGCTCCTCCAGTCTGGGGCTCAGCCAGCGTCTCGGGAGCTTAGCGTCAGATCCGTTGGGGCAACTAAGGCGATATGGCCAGCAAGGGCTGCGACAAGGACCCAGTCCCGACGATCCGAGGCACCTCCGGCAGGGAGCGAGTCAGTAGCCCATCTTGGCTCGAGCCATCAGCCAGACTCCGTCAGCTCGATTATCGAGCGATCATTGTCCCAGTCAGCATACAGCAATGGCCCAGAGGCTCTGGGCTTGGTTCCTCTTCATCGCCGGGGCAGCGGCGGCGCCCTCCCCGGCTCCTCGTCAGCTCCCAGGCGCCTACCACGCGACTCAGCGGGCGCTGCAGGAGCTCCACCAGCAGTACATGGCGGGCGTTGGAGGCGACGGTGGAGGGCAGAGTCCACTGGTGCAGACGGACTCCGACACCGACACGGCAGGCGAGCAGGGCCTCGCTCAGCAGGATCAGCAGGCAGCGGCTCAGGCAGTACCGACTCCGAATCAGGAGGCAGCGGGCCAGTTGCCACCCCAGCCAGTGCCGGTGAGCCTCGCTCCCCAGGGGCTCGGGTACCAGCCGCCACCGCCGCCCTATCCACCACCCGAGGTGGTGGCAGGTCAGGGCCGGGCGCAGCTTCAGCCAGGGACAACGACTCCACCACAGCAGCAGCAGCCTCCAGCGAGCAGCGGGCTGCAGGGGTCCCCAGCGGCCACGCAAGTGCCTCCTCAGGCCTCGGGTGCATCGACCATTCCCGTGAAGCCGGCACCAGTGCTTGCGAAGCCAGCGCCACCGCCACTGCCCTTGAAGCCGCTCCCGAAGCCATTTCCGCGGACGGGCAGGCTTCCTCCTCAGCAGGGCGGTCCAGCTCCCATCCCGGTCGGGAACCAGCAGACGGCACCGCCTTCGAACGATCGCTCGACTCCAGCTGCAGAGTGCTCCCATCCAGCCGATCAGGTCCAGTACTACGGGAACCAGTGGGGAAGCGGCTCCAAGTGTCGAGCATGCGGTACCAGAATCGCATGGATACCGAGAGGAGCTGCAGGTGCGGCCGGACAGGGACCTGGGGGGCCAGACGACCGTCCGGAGTCGGCAGCTCAAGCAGCCCGTGCGGCGGCCAGGTCGGCCCAGAGGGCTGTGGATATCCTTCAAGAGGCGGACGGTTTCCAGCAGGGGGCGGCAGCTCTCACCATGGTCAACCAGCTCGCGAGCTACCTGCAGGCGTTACAGTGGCAGCTGCACAACATTCCGGAGGGTCTGAGAGCCCTCGGCAACGTGCAGGAAACGCTCAACCAAATGATTCAGGTGGCTCAGAGCGTGCAGAGTCATCCGAGCCAAGTGGAAGAGGGTCTCCTCCAGATTCACCAGGCCCTGATCACGATACAGAGGGTGCTGGGGTCCATGGAGTCATTCGGGGAGAACCTCGACTTCATACAGACCACGTTGGACAACCTGGTGTCCCGCACCGGGAACATCGAGCAGGCCACGAACCAGATGGTGATGATGATGGTGTCCATCAGTACCGCCGTGCAGGGCCTGGTCGAGAACCAGAACCGTTGGCTGCGGCAGGAGGCCTCGGCTACAGCAGCGAGCAGTGCGGGGCCTCAGCATTTCGACCTCGACGCCCCGCAGGACTGGCACATGACGCCGAACATGAGCTCCGGCGCCCAGGGCGGAGGCGGAGCACAGAGCAGCAGCGGAGACCCGTGGACTACGCAGACCACGACGACCACGGGTACGTACACGGAGAAGGACC